GCTGCTCGGCCATGGAAACCCATTCCATGAAGCTCTCTGCGTACTGTACTCGGGCTAATCTGAAGGTCACATGAAGTTTGTAGCTCTGTAGCAATTGACTGTGCAGAAAGTCGGCGACCTCTGCACTTTATACACCTGTGGCCAGGCCAAGGGATTAGGACACCTGATTCTGATCATTTGAATGGGTGAGTGAATACTTTTGGTAATATAGTGTATTAGATTAAGGGTGTGGATACCTATGCAACAAGGTTGTTTTAGATTTTTATTTTTTCCCTCGTGAAGATTTCAGTTTGTTTTTCAATCGCCTATTACATGTTATGGGTCACATTAAAAGTGGAAAAAGTTATGAAACGATTTATGCTTGTGTCTTTTCTTTACATCACACAAACCTGGCTTTGAACAAGGATGTGTAGACTTTTTATATCCACTGTATGTAAATAATATAATAACTATCTCACCTCTACCTCGATAGGAGAGGAAACACTTTATATCATTGGCTGTTAATGTAAGACAGAGTTACTTATTTTGAACTTGTTTTAGTGTTGTGAAATGTATATTTTTTTTATGTAAAAGCAAAATATCATAACCTTAGCTGCTTGATTAAAACATTTTTACAAATGAAAAAAACAAACAAAAACTTCAGAATTGAAAATCTATGCACAACATTATTTTAACATTATTCTCTAACTGAAGAATGCCTGTTTAGTGCACCAAAGGTAAATATGTGTTTTGTTGGTCTTCAGGTACAATCGGCTTTCTTGCCTGTTTCTGGTTCGTGACCAAAATCTACAGCGTGGTGAAAGTGGACTAAGGGGTTCCCAAGACATAACAACTGTGTTTAGCTGAGTGTGTTTCCCCACTCCTCATGTTTTTGGACACTGGCTGATGTCAAAATTAACTGAACACTCCTTATCGTTCGATTTCTTCAGACACCCATCTGCCTGGGACACGTGGCAGTTTGCTTTACTGTATGAGACTAAAAATGTATTTGCTCTCACCATGTCTTTCTTTCTTTTTCTCTTATGTTGTATCTATAATGTCCGTCTCCACCTGTCCTAATCATACCAGTACAAGGCTCGTCCCTCTGTCTCACTCATGGACAGATTTAGTGCAGAGGGACCGTACAAAGTCACATGGTCTGACTTCTGTCCATGCTCGTGGTCGGACAAACAAAGCTGTGATGCTCTGCTATTTTATCCTTTTATATTCAGATCTAGTATTAAAATGCCAATATGTATAAATGGGTGACATCAATAATAAGACTGCAGACTGGAGAAAATGGCGGACTTCTCTGCTCAACTCTCTTCTTCCCCGGTGTGTCAAGGAAGTGTAGTGGCCTTCAGATATCACAAAAGAAGTAAACCCTAAATCTTCACATCTGTTTTTTCTTCCGTGCCTGTTGGCAGTCACTGTCCAACTTTTGTTCGGCTGTTTTCTTTGGCTTTTGCTACTGTAGAAAATAGCACTGTAAAGTAAAAGGCACACTAAAGCCTTATCTTTTCCTAATATTTTAAAACAATCATACAAACATATTTTTAGTGGTTCTCTGTCTGTACATTTTACCTGTGATGGACTGAATTGTCTAGTAACAGAATGGAGTAAAAGACAAAACAAAGAGAGAAAAAAAATCTTAGTTTTGCTTGGATCACAAGCATTCATCATTAATTTTGGTTTATTTATTATTTTTGTCTTATTTTCAATTACATTGATTAATTTTCAATGAGGTGATATTTTTGACTGAGTCCAAAAGTTTAGTTTGGATTTCATCTATAGTCACAGCAATTAACAACTGCAAATAACCACATAATAAATCTTTTCATAATTCCACTGCTCCATTTGCTATTTCATGTTTTAAGGTGTTGGCAGTCTTTGCTTTTGCTTTGCTTTTTTTTCATGTCATGTATTTTAGCAGATCATCATAGACTTAATGATCATGTTACTGTGGCCCTTTTAAGACAGAGCCTGAAAACTGATGGTTTGTTTTAAACCTGTTATTTTTCTTGTGTGTTTTGGAGTTTTGGACCAAGGTTACGGAGCTAGAACAGTCTCAAAAAGAATAAATACACAAACAAACAAGGATTCACTTTCCTTAGTAGTACTATGGCCTACATTGTGAATTGATTGTCAGAGAAGTGTCTAAATTAGTGTAGGCCAGTATCTAATTTATATCACATAAACCTATATATTTCCGCAAGTGAAGGGATTACTGGTAGGGCCAGCCAATTAAAATATAGATGTAATTAATTATTTAAATGCTCATTATGACTAAAGTACTGACCATAAATGTATTCAATGGGATTGTACCATAGAGCCACATGCATTTACGCAGTACCCCTTGTACCTAAACATATGCACATCAGACATATAAAGTATATTCTGTTTAAATTGATTAACACGTAGTGTTTTCAATGCAGGTAGATCGTTTAGCCAGGTCATTTGAAAAGTAGCTCCCAAGCCAAAAAAAAGTGTGGGCGCTCGCGTTATAACATCTTGATGACATTATCATTATAGTTTGAGGAGTTCTGTTTTCTAAAAGAAGACGTTTCACCTCTCATCCAAGAGGCTCCTTCAGTTCTGGTGGGGGGAGTACAGCAAATATATCTCGGTTCACATCACAAAGGATCTCCGTTTTGACTCACACCACCCCCTGGAGCACAAATTAGGAGTCATCAGAACCCTACAGTCACGGGAAGACACCATTCCCACCACCAACAGAGGTAAGATGAGAGAACAGGGACATATTAGGACACCTCTTAAGACCTGTGGCTATCCCAGATGGGCACAAATTGTTCTGATACTTCAACAGAGTCTAGGGCAGTGGTTCTGAACCTTGTTGGAGGTACTGAACCCCACCAGTTTCATATGCCCATTCACCGAACCCTTTGGTGATGACCAAGCAGGGGGCGTGTCATCACGAATCACGTGTCTTATCGGTTCATCCCAAAGACAAGACTCCAAGGAACAAGCTGGACAATGTGGTTTATGCCATTCAGTGCAGTAAAGAGTCTACGGACCTGTACATTGGGGAGACCAAACGACCGCTACACAGGCGCATGGCCCAACACAGGAGGGCCAACTCCTCAGGACAGAACTCAGCTGTTCACATACAACTCAAGGACAAATCACACTCCTTTGAGGACAACAATGTTCACATTTTGGTCAGGGAAGACAGATGGTTTGAGAGAGGGGTAAAATAAGCCATTTTTGTCAACTTGGAAAAACCATCACTCAACAGAGGAGGTGGGCTTAGACACAACCCACATACAAAGCACTCTAAGCAACAATACCCAAAAGTTTCACCTCAGTTTCACACAACAAAGAGGCAGGTGACTCTTAACGACTGTTTACACTTTCCCAGTTGACCCCAAGGCCCCACCTAACAAGGGGGAGCTAAAGTAGCTTTATTCTTTCACACCTGGAGTATATATTTGCTGTACTCCCCACCACCAGACCTCCAGAACGGAAGAAGCCCCTTGGATGAGTGGTGAAACGTCTTCTTTTAGAAAATTCACGTCCAGTTGGCCAACAGAACTCTTTAACTTTGACCATGACCTGAATGACTGACAATCTTCATAGACATTACATTATAACATTAAATTATGTTCAACAATAAACAGGTCATATCAAATTTCAAATTGGGACGTCTAATGGAATCATTAAGAACAAACTAAAGCGTTGAAGACTTTCAATTGGGTAATCCAAAGATGTCTTCTTTTAAAAAAACGTTTTCTTGCATATTTAAATACGATCCTCTTCCATACAATGGATTGTTACCTGGACAATGAGTGAGCCCTTTTTCCGGTTTGTATAATTTATAAGATTTATAGATTTTATAGATTTAATTTCGACGTCAAAAAAATCAACTTGGCATAGATAAACTACACCGCAAAGGATTCTGGGAAATCTCTCTCTCTCTTCCTCAAAACGTCAGCATATGCTGCATTCAATAAAGCTGGGTTCTCAGTGCGACCTCGAGACTTTATGAAGAAAAAGCTCTAACGTAAATTTAAACCGAGAAGATAAATCACACTGTACGTTTCTTACTTTCTATGCAATCTTGCTAAAACACAGCTATTTTAAATAGATTTGCTAGGTTACCTCGTATTTACGCCTACTCCACTGTTGCATCGTATAGAAGAATTAATGAATCTGTTCTTTTATTTAGACATTATTTTATTCAATTATTTTTATTTATTTATTTAGGTTGTGTGAAACATTGCAAAGTGACGCCAGACTGTTGCATCTCAGGTAAGTTATTATTATCTTAATTTGTCGGGACTTCGGTATTGGTACCTATGTTTTTTTTTTCTCACCGGACGTTTCACTTTCCGAACTTCCCCTTTTTTATGGAACGCACCAGCACACCATGACGAAGCGCCTCTCCCACCGCACACACAACAATGAACATGTCAGTGATCATTATTTAGCGTACAAAGCGGAGGGTGAGAGGAGCAGAATATTCCAACGTAATTCAATGTAAGAATTAAACCTTATGCTAAAACAATACAATAGAAATTGGACTAACTAAATATTTAGGTCAGCGACCATTTGTGTACCCATTGCTACTGTCGTTTTAGCTAGTTCGATAACCGTTACAAAGAATTAATTAGGTTGCAGTGATATTAAATTCGCGGTTGTTGACAGAATACGTAGCCTTATGGAAGAGTCTGTGACATAGAATCCGTGTATTAATGACCAAATTTGAAGGCATTGTTTATTTAATTCAAACATTAATAACAATAACTCATAATTTGCTGTCCACCCCCGTGACTTCAAACATGTGGTCTTATACAGTCCTGTGGCCTGTGTAAATACATTTGAACATATCAGGACGCAGCTATCACTTTAACTTTAAATAACAGTACTATATAAGCATAATGAAAAAACTCGGTTGCCATTAGTTATAAAGAAATCTCTGAAAGAAGCCTGTAAACTAAGAGTACATGTAAAAATTGTAACGCTACAACATGGTTATCGTTTTTTATGCTAACGAAAACAACGACCATTTTCATGTCAATGTGCAAACACAAAAGCCCTAACTCTGAGTTTTATTTTTGCCTATTGTCCTTATATGAGAAACAATAATGAAAAATTCCAAATTAAATCTGCAGCAGAAATTTTAGTCTGTTATTCCACAAACTTGTTAAATTCCCTTTTAAGTCTTGCTAAACCATACCCTGGATCTCAGTTGTGGTATACATTAACTATATTTTTCTCTTCTAGTGTCAACAAGAGATCATCCACTGCTGATATTAAGTCATGGGAACACTGGTGTCCAGGTTGAAGGTAATGTGGCTAAAAAGGGGGTTGCAGAAGAAAGGTAGATAAACTAATGTAATCAAGCTGTAAAAAGACACACAACAGAAAACTATAAAGCACAAAACTAAGACATTTTTTGTAAAAAAAATATATAACTGTAGAATTATTTTTATTTTAGCCCAATATAATGTCATGCTCAATTAATACCTCAAAGAGTTGTTTTGAATTTTAATTAAGGAAAGTGGAGTTTAGTTTAGGAAAATATAACTCAAGGAATGTTTATTTCCACTCCATTTTGGAGGCATAAAGTCAATATTTTTCATGTCAGGGTAAAGCCATCTCAAGATTTATTGATAGTCCTGGTGAAGTAAATGCAGAAGTCACACAACACAGTTCTCCATGAAAAAAATGTTACAGTGATAAATCTCCATTGATTTGATAAATGTAAATGTGTAAATCCTTGTGTAAAAGAGCGAAACAAAAGAACAATCCAAGAATTGCTAATTAACAACATCTTTTGTGAGGTCTGTCTGTCTCCCTGCCCTTCTGTTGTGTAATCAGTGTGATAACACTCACTTGTGTCCTGTGATTACCTGTTCATGTGTCTCACTCGTGTCACCTGGTGCCCTGGGTATACAGTATATACCTGTTTCCCTCGCTCAGTCCTTGTGTTGTTCAAGTCAGTTTATGTTGAACTGTTTGGAATAAACTTTTTACACCCGATCAACATCTCTCTAGTGCTGCATTTGGGTGCTGCTTTCACCATTACATAACATTTCATAAAAGTCCTCTAAATGATAGACTGAAATTACGAAGGCCATAACTCACTTTTTGGCTAAGGATATTGTAATTAACTCAATTTGTGCTTTTGTGTTACTGAATCTCATTTTAATAATAGGGCTTTTATTTTTGAAAGGTTTCTGTAGTTGCATGTTGCCCCTACAGCCCCCTTCACCTTTTTTGTTGCACTGGTTCTGTCTCCTCGTATTTCCTCCATGAGCTTGACACTTTGCATTGGCAGTGATTCTGTGAGTGACATATAGTGAATTGGTGAATGGCCTATTGACAGCAAGAAGCCAGCAGGGAAGATGAAAACAAAATACCTGTTAAGTGTTATTTGTGTATATAGATTTAATCTTGATTGATTGATTTAGATAGATAGATAGATAGATAGCTAGATGAATGGGTACAGTACAATAAAATACAAACATGAGTAGCAGCACACTGTCAATAAATATGGGAAACCTGAACAGTGGATGTCAGTAGATTAGTTGGTTAGTAGAAGTACATAGATATTGTTAGTAGTATTAGATTAGTAGGTAATTATTGTTGCCGTGTATGGTGTTAATTGCAATCTCAATTATTATTTCAATTATACCATTGTTAACCATTGTTATATATATATATGTGTGTGTGTGTGTGTGTGTATGTATGTATGTACACTAAGTATACCACATTATCTCTATGGTGTATGTATATTTAAGCAGAACTAGTATTTCTAAGCAAACTACAACTAGTAATTATAAGGATGTTATGTGAACAGGTATATACATTATTTAAATATATGAACAGTATAAATAGTTGAGTCATTAAATAATTAAATTAGAAAAAACTGTATAGGCAGTTCCAGCAGATATATTAGTGTATGGGGTGTCGACCAGATTTATGCAACCATTATTACTAGGAGCTACTATACATACATATATAATATATTAATATATTAATTATATATATATATAATATTAGTAATATATTTATACCCATTATTTAAGTAATAAATATGCATACATACACATATACATATGCCCATATCCACATATATGCACTATACATATACATATATACACATCTAAATATGCATACACATGTACAGACACACATATACTGCGTGATCATATATTTACACATACACATAAACATATACTCATAATAGAATATAAAATAGAAATACAATGATTTGTTGAAATATAATAGTAATGTAAATGAAGATTGTGTTAATTGCTCTGAAATTATCGTTAGGTTATTGCACTTGCTCCCCTATCTACCAGTCATTTGTTCGCCCACCACAGACTGGTAAAACATTTTCAGGAGCTTCCTACAGATGTTGAAAGACCTTAGCCTCCACAGGAAGTGCAGTCTACTTCTTGTACAGCTTTCTACTGTTATGTGCTCATACAATAGTAATGTAAATGGAGATTGTGTTAATTGCTCTGAAGTTATCGTCAGGTTATTGCACTTGCTCCTCTATCCACCAGTTGTTTGTTCGCCCACCACAGACTGGTAAAACATTTTCAGTATCTTCCTACAGATGTTGAAAGACCTTAGCCTCCACAGGAAGTGCAGTCTACTTCTTGTACAGCTTTCTACTGTTATGTGCTCAGTCCAATCACAGCCCAAGGTATTTATAGGTCTCCACGACCTCCATGCCCTGACCCTCAATAAGAACTGGTCGGAGTTTTTGTTTGGATTTCCCAAAGTCTATGACCAGCTCCTTGGTCTTGGAGGTGTTGAGCTGCAGATGGTTGGATTTGCTCCATACAACAAAGTTCATCACGAGGCGCCTGTACTCCTCCTCGTTGTTGTCCTTTTAGAAAAAATAATTTTCTAGCTTTTTTATACGTTGTGTTGGATTTGCTCCATACAACAAAGTTCATCACAAGGAACACAGCTCGGAGTTGTACCAGAAGTCAGAGGTGTATAGGGTGAAGAGGAGAGGGGACAGCACTGTCCCCTCTGGTGCTCCGATGTTGCTGACACAGTGTTAGACATGATGTCATTCAGTCTGACATACTGTGGTCTGTCTGTGAGGTAGCTGGAAATCCAGGCAACAAGACAGGGGTCCACTTGCATTCGTGTCAGTTTATCCTGGCATGCAAGTGGAATGGATGGTGTTGAAGGTGCTAGAGAAATCCAAGAAAATGGCAAACTGTAGGTTGTCTTTGGCATGTTGCACCTCTGGCCTGAGGAGCTTAAGGAAGAGCCGCTCTAGAGTCTTTCATCAGGTGTGATGTGACGTCGGAAGCCGTTCAACTTGCTGAGCCGGTTCTTTTTGGGAACTGGAACGATGCAGGATGTCTTCCAGATGGTTGGCACTCTACCTAGTCGAAGACTCAGGTTGTAGATTCATTAAAGCAGTTCCACGAGTTCAGCAGCGCAGGTCTTCAGTAGCCGTGGACACACCTTGTCCGGGCCTGCTGTCTTCCGGAGTCTGGTCTTTCACTTGGTTGGCTGTGATGGGGGGAGATCAGGGAGGATGTGGTGAAGGGGGGAGCGGAGGAGAGGTGGAAGGGGGAGAGGAGACAGGAGAGGAAGGAAGGTGGGATGGAGGGGAGGGGGGAGAAAGGGGAATAGAGAGAGATTTTTGAAATGCGTTATAATGACAATGTATTCCTCTTTTTTGAACTTTGTGAAGAATATTTGATCTTTTTTTTATGTATTTATTCAAGGCTAAGCCAACTACGGTGGAACAACTTGAGACCCTAGACAAGGTAATATAATTTTTAAAATAATTTCTAGCTTTTTTTATACGTTGTCTTGTAATTGTTAACAAATCATTGTTTTAGTTTTAGGAACTCTTACAGCACATATTCATGTTATGCCTTATTGTTACATATTCTTTTTCTACCAGAAGAAAAATATCTATTGAATATTTGTTTTAGTCTAAAACTCAACAATGATGATAAAGGATTGGTGGGTTTGAATCCTGCCTTGGCTGTGGTGTGTTGAGCAAGCACTAGAATTTTCCCAATTAATTCAGTGTACATTTCCTTTTTCCTATCTTAATTCTCTGCTCTAGGACATTAAAGAACTGGAAGAATTTAGAGCCAAAAATCAACGTCTGCAAAAGGTGAAGTTAGCAAGCCCGCAAATAGACATTTATATTAATTGTAAACAAACATTTTATATTGTTAAATCGCTGTGTCTTTTTTTCATCTATTTGCAGCTTTGGGTCGGTCGATTACTTCTCTACTCATCAGTCATTTACCTCCTAACGTTTTTAGTTGTTTACTACATCTACCTACCTGAACAATGGCTGCAGAGACTGCTGATGGCATTACCCTTCTTCATATACCCTGTACTGTGAGTACTTGTATTTCCGTTTTAAAACCATTATACTCCATTATACTTTTTTTTTTTCATGGACTAAATGGTTGCTCTTGACTTATAAAAATAACAATCAATTTCCAAATAAGCTAGGACAACGGCTTTTCTCTGTAAAGTGTGCATTATCATCTGTGTGCTTTGTGTATTTCGAACCCCAGCAGTCCTCTTTTTATGGTCAAAAATATTCTGTTTGTTGATTATCAGAGGACACTCAACATTAACTTTAAGTGTAAAAGTGAGTGTCAGGAGCCCTAATCTCCATTAATGTCTTGGTGGCCTGTCTTAGGTGTCTTGACGCAACTCTGAACCACTTGATAATATATCTGTAATTCATTATTCTCATCCTCATCTGACCTTTCTTTCCTTTCCCAAAACAGAGTGTGGTTTATCCGGAAATTATTGATTTTCATCTTTTCGAAACGCACAGAGAGAAACAGTAAGTTGTCAAATAATGAAACTACTTTTAACAGTTCACGGTAAACATCAGTAAATTGTAATATCAATTATAATTTGGCTAAACATTCTAATATATATGTGTAACTCTTCTCAGCACAAAAAAGTACTATGCATCAAACAGATGAAGCATTTAAATCAAATTGTGTCTACTGTTTGCCATCACATTACCATTAATTTATATTCAAGCTTTAATCAGCCAGTGGCTCCATACTTGCTAATGATCATTGGTTTTAACTAGTACTTCTTAAATAGTGGGGTGGGCCCCCCCTGGTGGGGCACGGTGAGGTGCCAGTAGGGGCGTGAGGGACTTCCAATGGAATATGGCACGCATGTGGACATAAGTGGACCACTGCCGTAATGCTTGAATGATAACAAGCCTCCAGTCACTAGGTGGCAGCAACACATACAAGGGTTTGTACAGATAAAAAATATACATGTTATTACCTTCTCAATAGTATTTTAATTTGCAGGGGGATGACAGAAAATAAATAAGAACCACTGGTTTAAACACTAATGTCTTCAACATCAGAAAATTGTTGTAAAATATTGCTACATATTTTCAGGAAGTAAATGTATAGTCTACTGAAATGTTTCTTCTTTTTTTTTTAGATGATATATTAGAAGATTTAAGGGCTACCAAAAGAAAGATTGTAAGTGTCAAAATTGATTATCGTTACTTTCATTGTTGCAGGAAACATAGTTTTCTTTTTCAACACATTTATTGTGTCCTTATTATGTTGTTTTAATGTTTTAATTAATTATAAATTAAAACATTCACAGCTTTTTAACACTAACCAAACCCACCTTTTCTTTTCATTGCAGCTAGAGGAAGTCATGGAAACTGAGACGTATAAAAATGCTAAAGTTATTCTTGAACGCTTTGACCTTGAGGCAAAGAAAAAAGCTGTGGGTGCTGTTATGGTTTTTTTTCTTCTTCTTCTCCTTTTCTTATCTACCTGTAGTTTATGTGTTTTCTTTCTGTTTCTTTTTATTCTGTCATTTGCTTTGTTTCCTTTTGTATTGTAGGAGCTGGAGTCCACTCCAGTGTGTTCTCAGATAACTTCCAGATCAGGCCAAGGTAAACAAGCATTGAAAAGAGAATATTAAACATAATTTTAAAGGTAACTTGGTGTCAAAATGTTAATGTAGTTTAAAATGCCATTTCATGTCATGACCTATGTGCTGTATAGTCATCCCAGAAGGGCTAAGACAAAGAGGAGTGGCAATGAGACCAATGACAACCCCACCTGGAGCACAGCCCTCACTGCGACCACTGGACACACCAGTAGGTAAGAGGTAACTAAGAAATGTTTTGCAAACCAGATTTCTAAGTGAATCAAAATGTGACCCACCAAACATATTCTGGGGGAAGCTGTATTTTTCCTGATCTATCTTTGCTTTGAAAAGGATATTTCAAATGTGTATGATGATTCTGTAAATGTAAAGACATAAACCAAAGACCCTTTCTGTGACGGCAGAGTATTCAGCCAAACTCACTGGCATGTCACGGACATCCAATTCAGATATTGTATTTAGCTCAAACTCTGAAGCTAGCTCTAAAAAGGATCGCTTGATAGTGTCGGGAAGAGCCATGTTGTGAGTGTGAACCCAACCAACTCAGACGAAGAGCGGCCACTGACGTCACTCTCATGCGCCACCTTGGATTGCAAATTCAGATTTAATTTTTTTTTAACTTTTTTATGCTGTGAGAAGAAAACAAAAAAGCATTTCCCTTTTTGTTTTGTCTGCCCAGAGGACATACTTAGCACCTTCCTACCTGTCTCCCTAATCACTGTAGCTGTAGTCTCCCAATCATCTGGGAATTCCTCAACACTACGCAGAACTGCCTTCCTTCCTGAATCCGATGTTGTTTGGCTACACTCTCACCTGCCACCGCCTTACAGTCTCTAATCTCCCTCAGATTACCTCTTCTACATAGAATATAATCTATCTGTGTGGACCTGCCTCCACTCTTGTAAGTCACCCTATGTTCCTCTTTCTTTTGGAAATATGTGTTTACCACAGCCATTTCCATTCTCTTTGCAAAATCTACCACTGCCTGTCCTTCTACGTTTCTCTCCCTAACACCAAACCTGCCTATCACTTCCTCATCTCCTCTGTTCCCTTTCCCTACATGACCATTAAAGTCTGTTACAGAATGAGTGATGTTGATAAAGAAAATGAAAATGCAGTTTAGATGATTGATAATTAATTTCATTTTTCAAAAAGTGCAAGTACATTTTGAAAAAGAAAAAGCATTGTGCTAATGGATTTTAATTTTCAAATTTGACATTTCAAAATGAATTTTGGTACTAAATTGCTGGGGCAAATTTTGGAACATTTAATCTTAAAAGTCTTTTTCATTTTAATTAGGTCACAGCATGAGCAGTCGTGAAGAAGAAAATGAAAATGCAATTTTATTTATCAGTCAAAAAATGCTGGTATATTCTGAAAATGTAAAAGCATTTCTGCTAATGCATTTTAATTTGAATCATGGTACCGATTGTCTTCCATAGTCATGATGCCAGAATTTCAGCAGACAATAACGCTACTTGTGAATTTCAAAAATTCTCGATACTTATTCCATACCACAATAAGAATCAGAAAAAACAGAACTCTTACATTTGTATTACGTTATTAAAAACTCTTTTAAATTGCCAAGTATTCAAGATCATTGTGCTTTGACACTTTTTTGCACCAAATTTAAATTGCAGTACCAGTTGCCAAGAGTTAACTTCACATTACAAAATAAGAACAGAAAAAGAATACTGACAGTACTGACAGCATGGAAAAAGTCAGTGTATGTTTTGCTTGTTGGAGTCGTCTTGGAATGGAAGTATCGGTTCTTGTGACAATCCTAATGGGATCTGACAATCCCTTCTTTGCGTCGCTCAAGTGTCCTGCTTCTGCAAACACACAGAGTACATATACATTTGCAGTCACATGCACAGTACAGTTAGATTTATTTTGTGCAGTCGGACGTTTAGAATGTATTGCTAGCAGTTAATTTCTTTCAGATAGTGTCTGTATCCTATGTTGCTGCCCCAACAGAACCTGTCCTTCTCTCAGCTCCAGGAGGACCACCAGAAAGAGCTGATTTGTCTCCCTCAGTCCAAAGGGGAGCAGTTCCTAGAACATCTTCTCCAATGCCAGGATCAGGTAAACAACCAAGCTACTGAATCCAGCATAAAGCATTGTATTGTATTATCAAGGGATGCACTGAATATTTGGTCCCTGAAAATTTTCAGCCAAAAATGTCCCAAAAGTAAATTTTTGGCGAGCAAAAACTGAGGTCAGCACAGTGAGATATATTCAGATTCTCTGCACTTCATCGCGACTGTACTTGATCTGTTTTATATAGATCATTAATAAAGTGCGTGCACGAGAAATGCTCCAGGCAGTAATGGATGTGGAGAACACGCTTGGAGACGGCGAGCAGAGCGAAGAAATCAATCTTTGTTTGATGAGAAAATTATGAGAAAATATTATTACATCTTTTAGCGGTTACAGTTGTTCTGAATGCACTCTGTTGAGTGGGGTCAAGTTAAACATTTTATTTGGAATTTTATTTTATTTTATAATGTGCATTGTTGGAACGTACTGAATAAATCTTTTCAGATTTTTTTTTATTGATTTATTGTTTGGAACATGAATATTATTACATGCAATCGCAGTGCCTTCAGTTTAGCAAGGTTAGTACACAGTCATAACCATAAGTGCACCCCTAGTAATAACTCTTAAAATCTTCCATGAGTCACACAGGTCCAAAACAATCTCAATGTCTGTCTCAGCTCTCTTTTTAAAAGTGCAATGTCCATTGAGACAAATGTGTCTCTTGTATTTGGACTATTCAAATAAAATAGACCTGACTTGACTTGACTCAGCCTATGTTTGGATTGTTCTTGCAGGCATGCACCCTCCAGGTCCTCCATTGGCACAACCTATTCTGCCCCGAGACAGGGGAACTGTGGATCGAGTAATTGAGTATCTGGTAGGGGATGGACCACAGAACAGGTGAATATTTTCCATAGTTATCATAGTTTTCAAGATTTTGTGTAAGTCCCCTCATTCTATCTTATCTCTCCTAGATATGCAATGATCTGCCAACAGTGCTTCTCTCATAATGGCATGGCTTTAAAAGAGGAGTTTGAATACCTTGGTAAGAACACAAGCCCTTTTTGTAAAGTCAAACTTTGAGTTAGATATAAAGCTGAGGGATATTGATTGATTGATAGATTGATTAAAAGTCATATCTCTATTTTCTTGCCGAAAGGCGATACTGAGTATATAGCAATATTCTTTCTGTGAGGTAATTGGGGTTTCCCGTAAAGCATTAAAGTATAGTAAATTCACTTTTTTCGAGCGGTAAACCCTTGAAAGATTAAACAAACTTTAAGTTATAAGTTTAAGCCACATGCGAAATGTCACACAGGCACTGTTTTATATAGAGGTTATTCTGCACCATATCAAAACATATGAATTATTGAACACAAAAAAAAATCTGTCTAATATTTGATCTAAAAATGCTCCTTCAATAAAAGCTGTTTTAGTGTCTGGATCAGAGCACTCGTATCTCAGTTGAATTTCCCCCATTAAAAATATCTAAAAAACAATTAATTAAATCCAGCCCCCCTTTCTAAACATCAATAACATATAAACAAATATATTTATAATATAAAATAATAATTAAGAAAACTTTTTATATTTGTAAATGTTTGTGTTAAAAAAGCCAAATTGTATTGACCATGATTGATTTATGAAAGCACTAAAAGGGTAAAACATCCAAGGGGGTGAATACAGTAAACCCTTGTTTTTCGCGGGGGTTACGTTCCAAAAAGAACCCGTGATAGGCAAAATCCGTGAAGTAGAAATCTTTATTTTTTTTACAATTAAATACTCAGAAAAAGAAGAGAAAGAACGAACAAACCATTTTACAGTCTCAACCATTTGTTTCACAAATAAAGTAAAATAAAAGTACTTTAGAAACGTTTCAACAAATAACTTCTGTAATGTACTGTCAAATAATAATTTTAATCATCAACGTGAACAGAAGGCTTCAAATTGCGGAGATTAGCACCGCCCACCGTGAACGGGAGAAAATTAAAAATGATTATGAAAAAAATACAAATTACCTGGTCTTGTTGCGGGCAGTTGCAACCCTTTTTGAATCCTTATTAAAACTTATTGCTGCTGTCTTCCTTATGTTTTTTTCTTCCTTCTTTATGGAACGAACGGAAGATTCATTAATTCCATAATGCCGACCTACAGCCGCATAGCTTTTACCTTCATTTAGCATGTCCAATAGTTTTACTTTATCACCGATAGACAGCATCTTCCGCTGCCTTTTGGTCCCTACCGCAGGTACTTTTGCCGGTCCAGAGCGTTTTGTCGACATTATGGGGTTTGATAAACTCGAAATTGCAAGAGAATTTGCACGTACGTAATGTCAATTTGGCAAGCTGTTTTACGTACGTGTACATATTAAACCGCAACGTTATTGGCGCACAGGTAGAGAAGAAGCGGAGTGACTTTTTAGCCAATCAGAATGCAGAACACAATGCACGATGCAAATCCGTGAAGTAGCGAAACCGTGAAAAGTAAACCGCGTTATAGCAAGGGATCACTGTATATAAAGAAAGTCTAAATCTATATGCAAAAAGTCTGAATATATATACAGAAACTGTGAATATATATACAAAAAGTATGAATATATGTACAGAAAGTCTGAATATATATGTACAAAAAGTCTAAATATGTATATAGAAAGTCTGAATATATACTGTATAAAGTCTGACTCTATATACAGAAAGTCTGAATATATATACAGAAAGTCTGAATATATATACAGAAAGTCTAAATATATATAAAGTCTGAATATTTCTTTATATATATTCAAACGTTTTGTATATAGATTCAGACTTTTTGTATATATATTCAATGTTGTATATATATATCCACGTAGTGAGGCGTAAAAAGTATTTTTAAAAATGCGTCACAAGCAGCTTCGATATAAACCTCTTTCTTTATTCACTATTCGCTGCTTCTCATATGAAAGCTATCAAACAAAATATCTTCAAATAAAAGTTAACATAAATCACTCTTTGCATTACTCTGGCTCTTTTCCTTTTTGGAAGACTTAAGTAATCGATCGTCAGCACGCTGGACAGCGTTATCAAGTAATAACATAAAAATAATATATTGCCAAACAAGTATTTACAACGGATTAAAACAATTTTTTTTTGTATTATCATTACGTTGCTCGGAATCCCTCACAACAGTGAGCTTAGATCTTTAACCATTTTATGACTGTAATCTGTTCTTATTCTCTTAAACATATTTATTACATTTTATATTACACAACATTCACTGTTTTCCTTTGTAACACTTGGCTTACAAATATAACCATGACATATGCAGGTGCTGTTTTATGGGGAACTCCTGTGCCGCCTGGTCGGTGGTAGCAGGCGTAGCTCCGCCCTGATTGGGGCACTGTGGTCAAAAAGGTTTAAATTTTTTGTTTATATATATATATATCTTTAGATTTTTTGTACATATATTCAAACTTTCTGTATATATTTTCAGACTTTCTGTATATATTTATTCACACTTTCTATATATATTTAGACGTTCTGTATATATATTCCGACTTTCTGTATATATATTCAAGGATTCATTTCCTGAACGGCATGTCATAATATACAGTATATATATATTTTTTTAATTCCGTGATGAACTCAACATATTCCCCATGCCGTAGGACTCGAATTGCAATAGTTGCATATTCGTAACATGGAATATTCATATTCCGGGAAGTTCTTCCCTGAGAAGGGGTCCACTGTATATCATTATATATTACAATATTAATATATTGCCCATGGTGCTTTCTTTTTCTTCTCTCTCCTTTCAGCATTCCGTTGTGCATATTGCTACTTCCTCAATCCTGCTAGAAGGACACGCCCACAAGCTCCGAGGCTTCCAGAATTCAGCTATGAGAGAGTACTCCGAGCAGAATTTCGCTCTACTGCACCGATCCCATGTGCACTCTCCTGTGGAGGTAAAGACGCCGTGCAGAATAGAGTAGTAGATATAAGACCTTTTCATTAAACATTTTCATTACTCAGCTTATTTGTGTCTCGCTACGCTATGTATCCTCGACCTTAGCATCAGCTTTTGGTTCACAACAAGAACATTTTGAAATGATACGTTTTCAACCTTCGCTTAAAATTTGTGATATATGAATGGTGCTCCAATGCGTCTGTCTCAGCAGTTACAAATGATATCAAAAGCTGTGTGTAGAAAAACAACAGCAGCGTAATATAACTCGCATCGTGTGGCCTCAGACTATTTTTCTTGGCGAGCGGAATATTTGTTGCACAGTTTAATGAACTAGTCAAACCGTATTTATTTATATTGAATTTTTCATACACAAGGAGCAGCTCAAAGTGCTTTACATAATAAAACCAATGGTACTTTTTTTTAGCTTGCTGTTAAAAATGAAGTTTTTTAATTAATTATTATAAATCTAACTTAATGAAGTATAAAAAAGGACATGTATGAAAAGTAAATATAAAAAGTACAAGGATTATTACCAACAGAATAGAAAGCAAAGCAAAAAAAAAGTACAAGGATTATTACCAACAGAGTAGAAAGCAAAGTGTTAAGCAAAGCAAAAGCATTGGTATTAGCAGTGCTATGATATTTAAATGTATATATATATTAAAAAGAAATAATAATTAATGCATTATTGACTGTTTCTAATAACTTAGTTTCCTTGTTAATACAAGAATAGAAGAAGGCCTGAAATGTCTTTTGTACTCTTTTTTATAAATTCTAAAAACCTTTTATGGGCAAAAATGTACACTATTTCAAAAAAAAAAAAATCCTTATATATCACTTTTATTTTCTTTAAGGAGCTTAGAACTTACTCAAAACTACTTTTAAAACATTCAGTCCTTTTTTTCATTCCATTTTTTTAACAACAGTACTTAAATGGAAGTTTATTTATTGGAAATGATTTATGACACAACTCAAAAAGGTACAGTGGACACCTGGAAACGAGGTTCCCGAAATACGAGGGAAGCCACAAGCTCTGATG